CAGACTACGGTAGGGCAGGAGAGAAAGGTGTGTGGTATGGAGAGCGAGGGGGGCGGTTGGCCTTTCTGGCCGGGACAGCAAATCACCTCGTCGATTGGCAGCAGCGCTCGACATCAACTCAACTCTTCGATGGGCAGTGCAGTGGAGCTGTGGCCCGGGGGAGACATCAGTGGTAGGGAGAGCGAGCTCGCGGGGTCATCTACGACCGAGGATGCTTCCACGAAGACTCTCTTGGCGCCTGAGCAGGTACTAGCGATGCTTCTAGCGAAGCTGAAGGGTGATGCCGAGAGATTTCTTAAGTGCGGCAATCTGCCCGCCGCTGTCATTACCGTTCCTGCGCTCTACTGCGATAAGCAGCGATCCGCGACCAAACTGGCGGCGGAGATTGCAGGATTCACGGATGTGAAACTCGTCAGCGAATCGACGGCAGCAGCTCTGTCTTACGCCCATCACACGGGATTGATCTCGCTGGGCTCCTGCCCCGGTGTTTCTCCTCCAGAAGAGACTCGGAGACGAACTAGAATGCTAGTGTTTTCGGTGGGTGGGGGAAGCTTTGAAGTCGCCCTCGTTACGATCGCCGGCGGGGTGCTGAGCGTGAACTCGGCGTGCGGTAATCCAAGTCTAGGAGGGATGGACTTCGACCACAAGATGATGGAAGAAATACTCGCTGGCGTGAAGGAGCAGTTTGATCAGACTCCGGCACTGAACGCCACCAATTTGCGGGAGCTCAAGGCAGCGAGCGAAAAAGCGAAGAAAGACTTAACTCTGTTGGACGATGCGCAGGTTGATCTTGAGTTCCTTTGCGGGGATGGCGACGCCAAGCTGGTCATCCGCCGTGAGAAATTCGAGAAAAACTCCAAGTGTTTGGTGGAGAAGTGCATGGACTGCGTCAAAGAAGTCTTACGGGTAGGCCAAACTAACCCCTCCGATCTGAATGAGGTTGTGTTGGTGGGTGGGTCGACACGCATTCCCAAGGTCGTAGACATGCTAAGAAAGACCCTTAATTTCTCGTTGGGCCCAAAGTCCCACCCTTTTCAAGACGAAGCTGTTGTGCGCGGTGCGGCGCTCTTTGCAGCTGGCTTCAGCGACAAGATCGCAGACATTCACCCCGTGTTGATTGGCTACTTCGACCATCGGCTTGGCGAATACGTCTCCTCCCGACCGTCCAGGAGGCCGATCAGATACGATCTGCCAGCTGTCATCAATGCTTGGAGTCACGATGTAAGAGATCGTCAGATGAAGCTGGAAATTTATGAGAATACAGTTGGTGGAAAAGGATGTATAAGGACGGGGACGATAGCGATGGCGGCAGTAGGGCCAGGTGACGTCAACCGTTGTGTCCTCCCTGGGATCACGATCGATGGATGCGGGATTCTGGGTCTTGACGCTGGCGGTCCGCCTGGTTCAGTGTCTGCTGCTAGGCTTTACAAAGACGGCCGTAGATCAACGGATGAGATTCATCGTTGGAAACAGCTTGCTGAAAAGTTAACTTTGTGCGAGCGAAGAATTGCGGAGATGAGCAGTGCGAAGAATCGCTGTAGGAAATACATCGCCGAGGTGGAGAAGCGAAAGTCTTCATGCCCGAGCTGGCTATGGAGTACTCTATCTGAATGGAAGTGTGATATCGAGCGATGGCTTGGCAAGGAGGAGGGTCAGGATGACGAAGGAGGGATAGAGCAGTTTACCGTCATCTTTGGGGACTTCCGGAGGGGGTGTCGATGGGCCCTTGGAGACTTGTGGGCGAGATCGATATCGGGACGGAGATTCTTAGTGGTGGACAGTTGGGACACGAGCGATGTCGATCAGTCCGTACAGAATCTGATGACGTACGGAGGCCGACGAGAGCTCTGTGACGTGGTCGTCTCTATGCCATTCAAGGAGCTTCGGAAGATGAAGGAGCGGATTGAAGGGATCGAGGGCGTCGAAGTAGCGACCCACTGCTTTTCGTTCGATGCCAATCCGATCGCCGTTAAGGAGAGCGGGATCCCATACGCGGTAGTCTCAGCAGGTCCCGTCTCGCCTTCGGGCGATGGCGCTCTTCTCTGCCACGCACGGAACAAGATCGTGGGTCAGCAGGTTGCACTAGCGGTGCAAGCAGGTCTTCGGGTCGTGCTGTGCCTTGGACGATATGATTGCCGAGGCGATCAGGCCAGTGATCGGTCGTTTGAACGGAAGGAAGAGCAGCGTCTTTGTGAAGGGCAACTCAGGGACATTGTACCTCCCATTGGCCGCGATTGGAGAAACATAGAGATCGCGTATATGCCTCCGCATCATCATCTCTCTTCTTCATCGCTCCCATTGCCTAGAGAAGAAGAGGCGTATTCGGCGCCACGGAGTGGTGGCGCACTTCTGGACGTTGTTGAGGTTCTTCAGACGATTCGGCACATAAGAGGGGTGATCAGGGGCTTGGTGAATGAGGAAGCTGCCGACACAACGCGGGTCCTTGTCGGTGGGTGCTGCTCAACGGTGGGGATGTGGGATGACCTCATCAAGCATGATGAGATTCAGGGGTTGGTGTTTGAAGGGGGGTTTCGGGACCCCCTCCTCGTCGACAAACTCCGCGTTCCCAGTCGGGAGCGGAGGGGTAAAGTCTTACTTTGCCGTGGGGAAAACGGACATGCCTCTCTGGACAAGCGGAACATAGAGCGGCTGCAGAGAGTCAGCGAGGAGGTGATGGGTGGAGAAGAGGTGCTCTGGATTACCGTGAGGAACGCGATGAGTGAGAGACTTGGATACTTGCGCGAGAGACAGACTGGTAGCATTGACTTCGTCTGGAAGGGGGGTGCTTTAGTTGAAGACGATTGCCAGCAGGCAATCAACCCCCCCCGGCGTGAGGTGACGATCGTCCCTCTTTGTGGCGGCTGGCATGAAGAGGAGCTTGCACAGATAATAGAGAACCAGCTTTCAAGCTGGAGCGATTATCTGAAGCGAGCTGATTTCGCTAATGGGGAGGAGGTTGTTGTTGAGTACAGGGCTGCGCCTGGTGTGGTAGACGTTGAAGTACCACGGCAGAACCTTCCCTTGGCCATAGAGACCGCTCACGCCCGCATCAGGAGGTGGATTTTGACGAAAATCAGCCCCTACGTGGCACAAGCGGTGCGTATCGTTTGTTCCTTGGACGATCTGACCCAACAAACCGAAACACACAGAGAAATCGCGAAGCAACCAAATGTGGATGGCCTAAGCCTGCACGTCGAGCATCCGGGAAATGCACCAACGCTCGGGGGAAAAGCAACAGAGAACGGACCGCTGACGCAAGATCCATTCATGAAGCCCACGCTAGTTCTACTCACAGGAGCAGCCAGCACAGTCGGACGTGCCCTTGTCCCTCTGATCGCAATGGGCCGTTTGCTTGGGCCGCACCAGCCAGTCATTCTGCACATGCTGGATGCCGAGTCGAACATGGACAGACTGAAGACAATGCAGGAAGAGGTTCTACGTGCGGCTCATCCTCTGCTCCGAAGCATCAAGGTAACCTCTGACGTCAATGAGGCGGCAAGAGGTGTCAGTCTGGCTTGCGTGCTGGGTGGAGACCGTGGAGGGTGCGATCCCGACCCGGGAACCCCCGTTGAAACCCTCATCAGCGACAACGTGCCCCTTTTCCAGGGTCTGGCTCAGTCCTTACAGAGAAGGGCCGACCGGGACGTAAAGGTCGTGGTCGCTGCCGATCCCGCAAACACGAACGCTTTCATCATGCAGGCGAGCGCACCGCAGATCAACCCACAGAATATTACTTGCTTGTCGAGGGTATACCATAACCGGGCAGTGTCACTAATCGCTCAGAGGGTTGGTGTGCCTGTAGTGGACGTTAAGAACGTCACCGTTTGGGGAGGGCAGTCCGTGCGGGGGTGTTTAGACGTGAGCCATGTCGTGGTCATGACAGGGAAGGGTGTGTACAAGCGCATCACCGACGTAGTTGACGACAACAACTGGCTAGAGGAAGAGTTCATCCATAGCTTCTGGCGACAAGAGGGCCAGATAGACGTTGCTATGTCTGTTGCTAGGGCTGTTTGCGATCACGTTTCGGACTGGCTGATGGGAACACCAGAAGACTCGTGGGTGTCGATGGGAGTACCCTCGGACGGTTCATACGGTGTCCCTCGGGGACTTATCTACTCCTTTCCAGTGTGGATAGCGAACGGTCGCTGGGAGATTCTACATGGGCTCCCTATCGACAAGCACTTGAGAGAAAAGATGAATGATGCTGTGAGGCAACTAGCCCACCATAGGTCTTTAGCGCAAGCCGCAATCGAGAGATCGAACCGAAACGACGAAGGCAGAGATTGCCTTGGAACCCCTGGGTATCTCGGCATGTACTCTCAAACGAGATCAGCGGAAGTAAGCGGAGTAGGACAATATAGAATAGGGTAGATTTGAAGTAGAGTCTAGTCGTTGTCAAACCTACAGAGTTCAAGCTTGCTTCCTGCAGTGGCAACTTGTATAGCTTCGTTCTCAGACAGTTGTACTAAGTAATGCTGTCGTACCGTCCGGTTGATGAACGGATATTGTTTGCCTACTTTCTGTACATAAAGGAGATGTTCACAGCGGTTTTTATTTTCAATTCTAGTATTTTTTGACAAATTTAGAGGAAAACATTCTCTTACTCGTACTCGTACTCATGGTCTCCTATGTTCGATGGTCAGACCTACCGCAGGATCTTAAGTCGATCCTCCGGTTCCTCTTCCAAGTTCCAACGGCAGCGGCAGTGAAGTTCCATCTACGTCTCTCTCTCTCTCTCTCTCTCTCTCTCTCTCTCTCTCTCTCTCTCTCTCTCTCTCTCTCTCTCTCTCTCTCTCGTGCACGCGTGCGCGCTTCTTGTACACATGTTCTCTGCGACAGGGATAACAGCGACGAAGACTTCCCCACCTGTTCTCGGTTGTCTTCGCGGTTGTAACGTGTCAGGACTTCTCCTCCACTGACATTCCTCCCTCTGCGTCCTTTGGTCTATTTGAACCAGTTCCTAGCTCTAATTCTAGGATAGGGCTATGAAGGTCCTACTTTGCTTCTGTGTGGCTCTCTTTAGGCTCCCTTGCTAGCATTTCCTTCCTCTCTCATCAGGCCATTCCGTGTATATTGAGCTATTATTGATTACCGTCTCCCATTCGTAGTAAAATAGTTACGATGGATGGGTCATGGGTGTAAAGAAGGGGTTGAGCCTTGACATTATTCTCAGGATTGGAACCGAGGATCTGTTGACTGACAATTGCAAGGGTATACCCTCCAGGCTCCAGCCACATAACTCGTGTCTCTCAGCCTCTCAGGGCATACTAGTATAGCGCCCTCAACACCCCAAAATTCGACAGGTTTGAGAGAACAAATTTGGGGGTCAGCGCAGTCCATGCAGAAGACTTGTTGAACAATACCTTGGGTGCAGATATGACTTAGATGCTCGTTTAAGGGGCTCCCACATTTTCTGGCCCCTTTGGGGGGCTAACCAATAAAAAGGTTCTAAGGAGGGGGAACTTGGGGAAGGGGGATTTATAACTTTTCCTGTACCTTTAGCCCTTTGGGCTGGTACTTACCCTCGTTGTCCTTCCCTCAACATTTCCCTTTTCTTTCCCCCTATACTTTTGCTGCCCCAGCTTCAAGAATCAAGAGCAATGTGTTCTGTAAGCTTCATTTGGCAGAAAGTTTCCTAGGGTGCATCTACAGTAAGTTCTTTCCTTACTTCTCGTTTCCCCTGTTACTCTTGCAAATTCTATTGACCTTTGTGGGTTACTTAACGAATTTCGCCAGCCGATCATTGTATGTGTCACTGTTCATCTGTAAACGGGAACTCGGCTTCGACATGAGAACGATTGAAGATGAGTCGCACCAAACGAATTTCGCCAGCCGATCATTGTATGTGTCACTGTTCATCTGTAAGCGGGAACTCGGCTTCGACATGAGAACGAATGAAGATGAGTCGCACCAACAGAGACTCAAAAGGGAAGAAGAAGAAGAAGAAGAAGAAGAAGAAGAAGAAGAAGAAGAAGAAGAAGGAGAGGAACAAGAAGAAGAAGAACAACAACAACAACAACGACAACAACAACAACAACAACAACAACAACAACAACAACAACAACAAGAACAACAACAACAACAAGAGGAAGAAGAAGAAGAAGAAGAGGAAGAAGGATAAAAAGACAGAAGAAGGAGACGAAGAGGAAGAAGAAGAGGGATAAGACCGTATTAAGATGACACACAGATGATGAGTCACACCAATCCGTTCGGTTGATTCTTGCGCCTTTGACCGGTCTTTCCTATTTGTCAAGAGTTTTGAGATCTAGCAGCATTGCGCAATTGGATGCACTTTGAATTTGAGCAGCGTGCGTGCTACGACTCTGTACTCCCCTTTCCAACTTCTTGTCCTCTGCTTTTCTTCCTTTTCCGCTAGCACTTGCCAATGGCATGCCCTTTGCTCCCGATGCCCTTGCACAAACTGCTTTCTGCTGTGCAATTTCTACAGCAGCCAGCCTTCGTATCAACCTTTTCGGATTCCTTCCCCCCCCCTTGCCCCCCCTCTCCCATGCTCTCTTCCTTCCCATCTCTTGATTGGTAGAGCTGGATGGATGTCGGTTCAGTATGCGCCGACTGACAATTACAGACCCCTGCAATCCAACCGGAATGTGGATATGTCTCAGGCATTTCCACAGAATCCAGTCTTTCCATCTATCACCTGAATGAACTCCCCCACCCCTCATCTTATCCTCTATGCATGGCAAAAAGCAAAAGAACTTTGGGCCCGACATACTCTTGCACTCTGTATCCTTTTCCCAAGCGATGCCGAGTGGTGAATTCTATGCTTGTGCAGAGAAGATTCCGCAGCAGGACTTCCGGGTTGCACCGTAGAATTTGTAGATTGAAAGCAAAGCATTGGAATAATATTGACGGAACTGTTCATTTTATTGTCATTTTCACGAGAGTCCTGGGCCCTGCGGCTGTCGTGTCTTGTATGGGTGATTGAAGTCCTCAGTGTTAGTCACAAGGCCAAGCTGAAGCATGTATGTATGAAACGGAAGAAGAAGGGGGCGTCTGAAAAGTCCTGATGTGCTGGGGGCCATGTAGTGGGGTAACGAGTGTGGTGCAACAGGCCCAACAGGGCTGACAAGCTTTTAAAACCAAGCAAAGTCCTTGGGCATCGCCACCCCACTCTCGAAATGTGCAAAATGAGAATGAGCTTTCTGCTAGAACATGGCCATGTAGTGGGGTAACGAGTGTGGTGCAACAGGCCCAACAGGGCTGACAAGCTTGTAAAACCAAGCGAAGTCCTTCGGCATCGCCACACCACTCTCGAAATGTGCAAAATGAGAATGAGCTTTCTGCTAGAACATGGCCAGATGCACCCTCCACTGTTTTGTCTTTTTCACATTTCGAGAGTGGTGTGGCGATGCCCTCTTTTTTTTTTTTTTTTTTTTTTTTTTTTTAATTTTAAACGGGCCCAGTGCCCAAGGCTGATATTATCAATAAGATGATTGAGGCCAGGGTCCTCACAGTCTACCCGGAGTAACCGAGACCAGCTTGCTGAGAACCGGGCTCAGCGTCCCACCTCTGAAGCTTATGATTATGATGATGATTATGATGATAGTAAATGCTGAAAGAATTACTGCTGATGATGATTAGTATATCAGCCCTTCTGACCTCCTACTCTTGGATCAACTCCCAACCCCCCTGCATCAGGACATTGTACTCAGAGACAATACCAACCTACCCGATATCCTCCAAAGCTGTTCTGTTCTCACTGCATAGCAGCCCCCCCTGTTCGCCACTGGATTGCCTTCCTTCCTCGGCAAACCCCAGATCTCTCTACCAGGCCTCATGCCCCCGCCAATTGCAGGTTACAGGGGGACGCCCCAGCTCCGGCCAGCGTCGTTCTGGCATCAGCAAACCAGGGGCACAGAACAGAACAACTCAGCTGACATCCGTCATGGTTCGACCATCTCTCAATCCTATGTCCCAGATGCGAAAGAAGGCTAGATGCTGTCCAGAGCCAGAACACCAGAATGCCTACTATAACCTGCAGCACTTCTGACCTCCTAATCCTGATACCTTCCTAATCCACTCTATACCAAGATATTACATCCTAGAGACAATACCCTCCTAACCAAAAATCTGCCATAGCTGACATGTTCTCTCCACCTAGACTATCCCTGGCCCCCTAGGTTGTCAAGGCAGCTCCCCCTGTTCGCCTTTAGATTGCTTTCCTCCCTCAGCAAATCCCCAGATCTCTCTACAAGGCCTCACGCTCCTGCCAAATGCAGCTTACAGGGCGACACCCCAGCTCCGGCCAGCGTCGTTCCGGTATAGGCAAACAGGAGCACAGAACAATTTGACATAGCAGAAATCAATCTAGATTCGATCATCCCTGAGATCCAATATCCTAAATAAAGAAATGACTCAGAGGCCACCAAGAAAACCAGAAACCAGAAACCGTCTTATTTCTGAGAAGATGATGATACGACACCTAAAATTAATCTCCCCCCCCCCCTACATTCCACCCTATCCCAATGCTGCCTCCGCTGAAATGGATTACCCTCATTACAGGCATCCCATCACAGCCCCCGTCCCCCCCCCTTTCCAAAAAGGCATACAGTTCCCTCCCAAAGTATACCCCTTCACACCTCTTACTTTAGACTGCCCCCGCTGGTGTGAGTAATCCCACCACCAACTCCACAATAAGGCAACCCTCAGAATCTGCTCACACCCCCTCCAGGGTTACACCTCCCACCTTGTGTCACCCCTGCAGAGTGAAGCTCTCCCCTGAACCTCCACTTTCCTCCTATCAACATTTGACTGCGAAACTCAGAGAGGGGACAACTGGTATTTCGATATATCAACTTATACTAGAGAAAAATTCCAGTGATTTTCGAAAAAGAAAATGAAACGGAAAAAGAAAATCGAAATTAGGACTTTAGGCATTAAGAAATTAATACATAAACAAGGTTTCGAAATATTGTGTTACAGAATCAGGAATTCGGAATTTAGGAAAAAGAGCACCAGTTGAAAAATGATATGCTCTCCGATAGCTGCAGCATGAAATCCGCTGAGGCTGTTTGAGATAGCAGATGTTGCATTCTGCGCCTGCACGTGGACGCATTTCGGGGGCTCGACGGTTCCTGAGGCGGGCGGACGGTTGCTGAGGGGGCCCGATGGTTGCTGAGGGCCCACAGGCCGCATGCCAGCCCAGCCTGTCCAGGCGGGAGCCCTGGAGGCTCAGGGCCATTTTTCAGGCCGCAGATCCTGTTTTGAGTCAGCATTTGTTTATATTTATTTATGTTGCTGACTTCATTTGTCTGTTCTATTTTTGTGGTGTCGTTTCGGACTCGCAGTGTGGGCATCACCACACCACTCTCGAATTGTGCAAAATGAGAATGAACTTGGGGCTAGAACATGACCAGATGCGCGCGCCACATTTTTGTTTTTTTCACATTTCGAGAGAGGTGTGGCGAGGCCCTGTGTCCGAACAGACTGATGG